TTTTCAAAAAGTAACTTTTTATTTCACTGATAGTTTGTATTTTTTTTAGTCTCAATTTTGTTGATTTCTGATCTTTATTATTTTATTCCTTCTACTATTTGGAGTTCGGTTTGTTCTTGCTTTTCTAGTTCCTTGAGACATATCATTAGGTTGTTTATTTGAAATATTTCTACTTGTTAAAAAAATTTAGGTGTTTATCGCTATAAATTTCCCTCTTAATATTGCTTTTGTTGTGTCCCATAGGTTTTGATATGTGTGTTTCTATTTTCAGTTATTTCAATAAATACATTTTTCAATGTCTTCTTAATTTCTTCATTGATCCTTTGATGGTTCAGGAACATGTTTAATTTCCATGTATTTGTACACTTTTGAAAGTTCATCTGGTTATTGATTTCTAGTTTTATTCCATTGTGATAAGAAAAGATACTTGATATTATTTTAATTCTTTTAAATTTGTTGAGACTAGTTTTGTGGCCTAACACGAGATCTAATCTGCAGAATGTTGCATGTGCTGATGAAAAAAATGTGTATTTTTTAGCTGTTGGGTGAAATGCTCTGTAAATGTCTGTTAGTTCCATTTGATCTAAAGTGTAGTTAAAATCCAATGTTTCTTCATTGATTTTCTGTATAAATGGTCTGTCCAAATACTTAGAGTAGGATGTTGAAGGTCCCAACTATTATTGTACTGGAGTCTATCTCTCTTTTTATTTTTCCCAGATCAAATGTGATTTATATTTATTTTTTATTTCAGCATATTATGGGGGTACAAATGTTTAGGTTACATATATTGCCTTTGCCCCACCTGAGTCAGAGCTTCAAGCATGTCCACCCCCCAGACAGTACACACTGCACCCATTGTGTATATACCCATCTCCTCCTCCCCTCTCCCATCTGCCTGACACCCAATGAACGTTACTACTATACGTGCACATAAGTGTTGATAAGTTAATACTAATTTGATGGTTGAGTACACGTGGTGCTTGTTTTTCCATTCTTGTGATACTTCACTTAGTAAAATGGGCTCCAGCTCTATCCAGGATAATACAAGAGGTGCTAGATCACCATTGTTTTTTGTGGCTGAGTAGAACTCCATGGTACACATATACTGTATTTTATCAATCCATGTCACTCCATAAATTAATATTGCTATCTTAGAGACAGAAATGATCTCAGGAGTTTTGTGGCGCTTTGCCCTGAAGGAATATGTGAACGTGTTAGTTTGCATGTCAAAAGCTGCTCCACCTCAGGAGGGCATCTCAAAGGTCAGTAGCAGCTGCTTTCCAAGGTGATGCTTCAGTCTCAAACCTGTGGTTTTCACCTGCTTTGAAGGACAAAGCAAGGTCTGCATGGAATCACAGGATGAGAGCTGATCAAAGAGATAGATACCTGCGGCTAAAAACAATTAGCCCAAGGGACAGTTCCTGCTTGACTCCTGATTACCTGTCTCCATTTGCCATAACGAGATAAAGAAATATGGAGCCACTATATCCCTGTTTAATCCTTCTGTTAAGTGATAGCTTTATCTTAGAACTTAGAAGTTTGTCCTTGAAAGATTTTGTAACCATTTGTTCACACAGATAGAGTTAATTAAGGGATCTATAGAAGCCTTTTGAAATACTTTTAACCTAAAACAAACTACCTGTTATTATGTAAATCTGTTACCCCTGGCAACTGATGTCTGTACCGACAAATAACCATGTGAAACTTCATTCTGGGCCTCACAATTAATGGGGATATTGTGGGGACCCGTGAGTACCCCTGCTTTACTTCTTCTTTGTAAATCTATAAAACTATACCTTTGTCTCTGTATATTCTTTTATTTCTATTATTTTCCATTTTCTACTATTTTCTTATCCTTTGTGACAACCCCTGCCTAAGGGACCCGATTTTTTGCTGGGAGCGTAGCTAACTCCCTGCAAATCCACTCATGTATTGATGGGCACTTGGGTTGATTCCACATCTTTGCAATTGTGAATTGTGCTGCTATAAACATTCTACTGCAGGTGTCTTTTTTACAGAATGTCTTTTGTTCCTTGGGTAGATGCCCAGTAATGGCATGGCTGGATCAAATGGTAGTTCTACTTGTAGCTCTTTGAGGTATCTCCATGTTACTTTCCACAGAGGTTATACTAGTTTGCAGTCCCACCAGCAGTGTATGAGTGTTCCTATCTCTCCACATCCATGCCAACATTTATTGTTTTCGGACTTTTTGATAAAGGCCATTCTCACAAAACAGATTGAGCTTTAAAAATAACCGTACTAATATCTACAGACATTTCTAAAGTACTAACAGGCACATTTAAATAATCTATGTTTAACTTTTTTAAGTACTCCAGAGGGTAACATTTTGGCCAGCGTGGTGGCTCATGCCTGTAATCCCAGCACTTTGGGAGGTTGAGGTGGGAGGACTGTTTTAAGCCAGGAGTTTGAGAACAGCCTGTGAAACATAGTGAGACCCTGCCTCTAAAAAAAAAAAAATAAATCAAAAAAATAGCTGGCTGTGGTGGTGCATGCCTGTAATCCCAGCTAGTCAGGAGGCTTAGCCTGGAGGATTGCTTGAGCCCAGGAGTTTGAGGTTGCTGTGAAACATAGTGAGACCCTGCCTCTAAAAAAAAAAAAATAAATCAAAAAAATAGCTGGCTGTGGTGGTGCATGCCTGTAATCCCAGCTAGTCAGGAGGCTTAGCCTGGAGGATTGCTTGAGCCCAGGAGTTCAAGGTTATAGTGAGCTATGACCATGCCACTGCACTCTAGCATAGGCAACAGAGCAAAATCCTGTCTTAAAAAAAAAAAAAAAGTGTCCCTCCTGACGTAAGACCCTTTACTCCACATAGCAGCTCTCAAAGTCATTAAGTCGTATTTGGTATAAAAATAAAGCTTTTTACACACACTGAACAAAACTATCTTTGACATTACTTTACTGAGTGGGGTTTAAAGGAGTTTGGAAAAATGTTATCCTCTTCTTCCCTTCCCCCATGTTAAAAGTTTTATGTATTTTTCCACACATTTTTGTTCATACATACATACAACACTAAAAATACCCCAAACGATATGGGACATTACACCTTTTACTTTGTAGTTTGTTTTTCTCATCTTTTCAGGTCAACAGATACAAACTTAACATTCTTTTTAGTGGTGAGAGAATATTCTATTATATGGATGTGCCACAATTTATTCAACTATTTACCTGATTAACATTGAGATTTCCGGTTTTTTTTTTTTTACTCCCGATATATCAACAAACATCTGTGCACCTACATTTTCAAATTTTCATGCATGGGTCCTTTGATTTTTATAGGATAATGTCCCAAAAGGCTGTTCACTGAAAAATAGGTGTATTCAATTTTAGTACACACCCAGGTAACTTTGCAGCACTGTTCTGCCAGCAACGTTTGTGTGCCTGTTTCCCTGCATCTTCACCAACATGGATGTTGTCACTATTTTGACCTCAAACCAATCTGATGAAAAATGGTATTACATTGTTGCTTATAAAAAAATTCCATTAATCCTTAATGAGGGTGATCATACTTTATGTTTGCTGACTTTTTCAATGTCCTGTTTTATGAATTGCTTATTTACAGCTTGATCGTTTCTCCAATAACTTAAAAGTTCTCTCTCTATATAGGGACATTGACATGTTTTTTATCACTACACAAATAGTTCTTCTAGTCCACTTGTTCTTTTAGCTTTGACTGTAGTCCCCAGCCATATGAAATTTAATTTTTTGTTACATGTGTCTTTTAAAAAGATCTTCTTGGCAGGGTGCAGTGGCTCACGCCTGTAATCCTAGCACTCTGGGAGGCCGAGGTGGGCGGATTGCTCAAGGTCAGGAGTTCGAGACGAGCCTAGCAAGGGTGAGACCCCATTTCTACTCAAAATAGAAAGAAATTAGCCAGACAACTAAAACTATATAAAAAAAATTAGCCGGGCATGGTGGTGCATACCTGTAGTTCCAGCTACTTGGGAGGCTAAGGCAGAAGATTGGTTGAGCCCAGGAGTTTGAGGTTGCTGTGAGCTAGGCTGACACCACCACAGCACTCTAGCCCAGGCAACAGAGCGAGACTCTGTCTCAAAAAAAAAAAATCTTGTTTAAAAGATCATTTCTACCCTAAGATTACATAAGGCTTTTCTTTACATATATATCCTTGTATTGTGTTTCAGTTGTTGATAACAATGTGAGAAATTTCTGCAACTTTCTTTAAAAGAACTTTTTTTTAAAAAGGAAGAATTTTGCAGCCACTTGGATGGAACTGGAGGCCATTATTCTAAGTGAAATAATTCAAGAACAGAAAAATAAATGCTCCATGTTCTCACTTATAAGTGGCAGTTAAACTATGACTATGCAAGGACATGAGGAGTGGTACAACACTGGAGACTCAAGAGAGGGGAGAGTAGGAGGGAGGGAGGGATGAAAAATTACATATGGGGTATAATGGACACTATTCAGGTGATGGGTACAAAAGCTCAGACTTCACCACTGAGCAATATAGGCAGGTACTGGAACTCAACTTGTACCCCCTAATTCTATTAAAATAGATAAAAGGAGAAAAAATGAAAAAGGAAAGGCAAGGGCAAAGAGAGAACAAGAAAGAAGGCTGGACATGACTGTCCCATGGTTTTAGTTAAGAAAAATTCTACATTTGAGAAAATGAAACTTGCTGTGTTGTGAATTTTTATAACACAAAGCCACATTCTCAGAAAAAGCACAATTTAAAAAATGTATTTTGATGTATTCACTCCCATTAATGTGGATGAAATTTTACACATATGTACATCATTTTATACTTATATACATATATCAATTATTTTTATTCCCACCTTTCTTGAATAATGCTTATCTATTAAGATTGAAGAAAAGGAAGAACAAGATTATTTGGAAAGTTATTCAATCCTCCCTACTTTAACCAAATACAAATACAGAAATTCTCCATTTTAAAATGTCATATATTTTAAGTCAACTAAATTGGCACAAATATTACTTAAAACAATAGCATGCCAAAGAAAGGTCTATGCATGATTTATTTATTTAAAATATTATGACTCTGGATGTAAATACATACGGGCTTACATAATTTATGGTTATCCATATAAACCCTCAACTAAAATGCTTAATTGTTCATCTGTAATGCCTTTCGTTCTAATAAGCATAATGGTAAATTTTCTATCTCACTGAAATTGTTTAAAGCCTTTTGAATCTTGATTTGTGAAGAAATTATTGAAAAATAACTACATCAAACAATATTGTTTGCGATGCTGTCACAGATTTCTCCATGGCAAAATAGTCACATATGGTTATTGCACAATTCATAGGTACAGGTTATGTGCATATAAACTCTCTACATAATGACAGTGTTTTCACTGCAACTTGCTCAACACATTTAAAATTACTGAAATACAATTTACAAAATCTTTAACAATATACTTTTAAAAGTATCCTGAGGATATTACAAAATTCATTTTACCAGCCCTTCATTTCTATGCTTTGACTCTTTAATTTCCAAGATAGTAGTTGTCCATATTCTATTCCATAAAAATGCTCTTATTTTATAGTTCCTATTAAACAAAATATATTTAAGCTAAAGAGTATATAATTGTCCCATAAACACTTAGTCCCATCTGCCTGCAGTCTTACTGGTTAAAATCAAGTATTTATCAAGTTTTCTATAATTCTGAATCAGAAAAGGTATAGCACAAAACAGACAGAGATAGGATTTAGCACATTTAAGTTAAAAGCATTGTGCAATCTTAATATTTTGGTCATATTTTATAATAAAATAATATTTTGGCATAAATAATAAAATATAAGGTTTATTTTCTATTAATGGTACTTCTGGAGGGTATTTTACATTTGTAAATACTATCTATTTAATTTGACTGTCTTCACATTTGTTTCTAAAAACACTGCTATAAGGTTTTCAGAACTTTGAGACTAAAAGCACCTAAAAATTAAGAAGATAAAATAAAATTTAAGTAAAATGCTTGATGCTCAAAAATCCCTTGACAAAGTCACACACTTTTAAGTGTCTTACATATGCCAACACAGAATCTTTATTGCCTACTAAGACTTATTTGACTCAACATAATCTTAAAAATAATAATCTTGAAAGTCTTGAAATTTATTTGAAAATTAGGATGGGAATTCAAAAATGAAAAAAAAAACAGTTGCAAAAAAAGTTGTTATTCTGGTGGCAGTAGTTGTTATGGCACAAAAACATATGAAAAGATTTGTAGTTTTCACTTATATATACACAAACTAGTTCAAGTAAGATGCATAAGATATGTACATATACACACACACACACACACATATACATACACACAACTTGGGCTCTAGAGGGGAAAATGATAAAAACTACATGAGCCATTTGGCTCGTTTATCACTGAAATCCCAATGATAGCTTTAATGGAGATGTTATTTGTTTGATTTTTACCCAAATGTCAATCTATCATTAATTAAGAGGAGAAGAATTTGAGAGGTATAAGTCTGATAAAGGAAGAAAGAGAGTAGAGAATTAAGTGATGAGTATTATGTGCAAACTGCCTTTACAAAAAGGGTATTTTTACTGTAAAAGAAATTCATGCAGAGATATCTGCAGAAGAGTTTATCAACAATAAGAAAACAAAAGTCCTTTAACACTATGACATACTCAGTATAACGTACTATAAATATGTATTATAACAGCATTACCTACACATTCTATTTTAGGCAATGTAATCTAATTATGAATGACCTTGTTAATTTTTAAGGCATCAGTGCATCAAGGGTAAAGCTCCATAAAATAAATAGAAAAACAAGAAAGCATTTGCTTATTTGTGGCATAGAGGGTGATCACTGTACATTATATCTGTTGGCCACTTCCATAGTAGGTAATAAATTATACATCTTATTTGTGAAAATGTTACAGCATAAATTTCACATCATTTTTCAACACTTCATTTAAGGGGCTAAACTGATCTGGCAGTATTCTCATTTTCATTGTTCCATCAGCTCCACAAGAGAAAATGTGATTTGCTGGCCCTGTTTCAATTTGCATCACTCCTGTTCCAATATTCCTAAAAATGGACTGACGAGCATGTTCATTGATAAAAGTGTGGAGAAGACCAAAGGTAGAGAGACTCCAAATCTGAAAGATACGAAGAACAAAATGAAAATTAGGGTTGATAATTACCTTAAGAATATAAATGAAAATTTTAGGTCTGCCTTCCTGTACAGATAAGGAATTTCTAAAATAAAGATGGAGAAAAATCTGTGTAGGCCTAGGATTGTTAACACCTAAATTCTGTATAAGGCGTTGCAATTTACCAAGTGCTTTAATATTATTAAATACTTAAAAATCCATCCAGTAAGAGAGTAAGAGAGAAAACTTAGGTATAAGGAGGTTAAGTGTACAATGCTACAGAAAGTTGTGATATCACAGGGATTACAATCAAGATTTCCTATCTCTCAGTAGAGGTTCTGCTGCATAGTTGTACAGTGGGGTAACCCCTTCTCTATAATATTGAATGCTCACCAGGGGATCAGAACAGCCAAAAATACACCTAGAGGCCCTCAGAGCAGGCAAAACTATGTTTTTATTACAAGACACAATTATTACAATTTCAGGATATTTAATTTACTAAGATTTTCTATTTTCAGCCCTTATCAAAATAAATGTGTCTGCTTCGAAAGCAAATTATAAGCGTCTTCACTGATGTGAGGGACCTAAATGCCTTCAGGACATCCACTTTAAGTTTAGAGAAACCAATTTATTTCCTGATTTTATTCAGATCACTAAAAAATAAACCTTTCTTTCTCTACTCTAAGAAAATTCATTAATTCATACTTCCCTGGACACAAATTTGTTAAACTATGGCTTCTGAATACATTGCATAGTTTCAAATCTTTTTTTACTTAATTAAACAATAAACTTCAGAGTCAGAGTACAAACTAAAGAACTAAAACTATGACTTATTCTAAACTGAAGGCAATCCAAATCAGAAACTAGTTTCAAACTAAAAAAAAAATAATTCCATTGGTATATACATTTGACTTTAAGAAAAGCCTTTTTGAAAATCCTACAATTTTAGTGTTTTTTTTTTTTGGCTGAGAATTATGAAAACAATTTGCTGGTTCTAACAAAGTCCATCTTATTGCACTAAATATGCTCACTAGTGCTTAAATTAATGAATTCTAGGAAACTAAACCCTTCAAGTATAGGGTTGCTGATCATTAAAACAATTTAGGGACTGGTCTAAATTGACTTACCCATTTCCAAATAGGGCCAAAGGACCTTCTAGCAAAATCACTAGGTACGTGTTATAACAATGCAGATTCCTGAGTCTCAGATTTACTGAGTGTTTCTGGCATGGGACCCAACAGTTTGAGTATTTAATAAGCTATTTAATGTTTTTTAACAAGCTCTTCATTAACATTTTAAGAAATCTCTCTAAGTTCTAAACATAAGGGAGTTTGAAAAAGATTGTTATAGGAAGGCTCATCTGGGTACACTCAGAATTCTTTTTTTTGCCCTACATATTTTTAGTTATCCAATTAATTTCTTTGTATTTTTAGTAGAGACGGGGTCTCGCTCTTGCTCAGGCTGGTTTTGAACTCCTGAGCTCAAACAATCCGCCCGCCTCGGCCTCCCAGAGAGCTAGGATTACAGGCGTGAGCCACCGCGCCCGGCCAGAATTCTTAAATTAAGCACTGAGTGGTTGGGTACTGATGTTATAAATGAAAAAATGGGAAATAATGTGGGATAAAAGAAAATGTCAGTACATTTCTCAGCATCTGAAAATTAAATTTGGTAAATTATATAACTCTGAACATGGAGTCAAGACTAATTCTAATGTCTGAAATATGCTTATATCCATGGAAAATTTAGTTCTTCAACATGAATTAAGCATGCTTAAAAACAATTGAAAAATAGAAAATTTTCAAGTTAAATATTATTCCATTCATCAAAAGATTAAATAGCAATTAGCACTGTTGACTAGAAAGAAGTTAATGTTACTATCAAATTTAAATAGCCTAGTGTCATCAAGAGGATTTAAGACTTAAGCTGTCCGATGATTTCTTTTCATTTTTTAGGTACTGTGGCATCATCTGTGTTTACCTTTATATTGCCTTCAGCAGATCCTGTAACAAAGTACTCTTCAGTTGGATCAATAGCAATGGCTTTAACAGGAGAATCATGGCTCTGGAAAAGCTGCCTCTGTTGTCGCTGGCGAAGGTCAAATACACATGTAAAACCTTTTCTGCCACCTGATATCAGCAGCTGATGTTTTGGAGCATATGCTAAAACTGTGGCTCCACTATCATGGCAGGTAAAAGCTGAAAGTTAAAAAACAAAACAATCATTTAACAATAAAAGAAAAAGACTTGTGGCTTTTGGCCAAGATGAAGTAATAGACCAGACTTGCTCTCCTGCTTGAAACAATTAAAACATCAAATGAAATATAACAAACAGGGCTGAGCTTGGTGGCTCAAGCCTGTAATCCTAGGACCCTGGGGGGCTGAGGAGGGAGGATTGATCACTTGAGCTGAGGAGTTCAAGACCAGCCTGAGCAAGGGTGAGACCGTTTCTCCCGAAAACAGAAAAAATTAGCTGGGTGCGGTGGTGTGCACCTGTAGTTCCAGCTACTGAGGAGGCTGAGGCAAGAGGATCCCTTAAGCCCAGGAGTTTGAAAGAGCTATGATGACAACACTGCATTCTAGCTGGGGTGACAGAGCAACACTCTGTCTCAAAAAAAAGAAAAAAGAAAAGAAAAGGAAGAAAAGAAAGGAAGAAACAGTGGACATCAGGCAAGGAAAAAGAAGGATCTCTGAGAGATGGGAAACAAACTGGGCGAGTCACACAAGTGCCCTGGCTTATTGCCTAGAGAGAGTTTTCTGGCCATGCCACAAGGAGGGGAACCCCAGCTGACCTGGTTCCATACCAGCTGTAGTGGAAAACTTCCTAATTCACAAGGCTTTGGGTAGAGCATTCAGAGGGTTTGCCTAAGCAGTGGAGCAAAATCATTCCTAGACCAAATGTTGGTTTGTGTTGTTTAACAAAGGCCCCAACAAATCCAACTACTCTCAAGTAATTTAGCTTTGTCACAGAACAAACCTCAAGAATATTTACAGAATACAAAAATAATCAGCATCTAATAAGGTAAAATTCACAATGCCCGGCCTCTAATAATTACAAGGAATGCAAAGAAACATGAAAATATAACCCATAAGGAAAAGAAAAATCTATCAATTGAAACTAACCCAGAAAAGATACAGATGATAGCATTAGTAGATAAGAAAATCAAGTCATTCTAACTGTACTTCACACATTCAAGAAGCTGGGTGAAAGACTGAGCAATTAAGTAGAGATATGAAAGACACAAATCAAAATTTTAGAGATTAAAAACTACAATGCTCAAGATGAAAAGTAAACTGGGTGAGAGTAACAGCAGATTAAACACTGAAAAGAAAAGATTAGTGATTCTGAAGACACAGCAATAAAATATCAGTACTATAAAAATACAATTATTATTTTTCTTAAAAAAGTCCAGCCTAACAAATTTCAGGGAAAAAAACTCTGCATACAGCTCAAAGAGAATATGGCATAATGAAGAGTGAAGATTCTGGAATTAGACTGCCGAGGTTTAAATCTTGTCTGGGTTTAAATGTGTACCTTAGGTGAATTACCTACCTAAGTCTCAGTTTCATCATTTGTAAAAGCGGAGATAATAGCACCTACCTAATAGGGTTGTGTTAGGATTAAGTTAGTTAATATATGCAAACCATGTACAGTACATGGCAAATACTAAATATTCAATAAAATTCATCTTCACATGAGCACGTGACTCTAAGTAAAACTAATTACAGAGTAGGGATTTTTGAATTTTTCCATCACTTTGAGATGTAACTTTCTCGGAGTAAAATGCATAAATTTTTAGTGTACATCCTGATGAACTTTGACAAATGAATACATCTGTGTAATCACCACTAAGAACAAGATATAGAATATTTTTATCATCCCAGAAGGTTCCTTCATGTCCCTTTGTAGTCAATCCTCCTCACCAAAGAAAATCACAATTTTGACTTCCACCCAATTAGTTTTACCTTCTTGATCACAAATGAAATCTTACAGTATATACTCTTTTGTGTCTGGCTTCTTTCTCTTAATGTGATGTTTTAGAGGTTAATCCATGTTGTATATGTATCAGTAGGTCATGCTTTTTTATTGATAATATCCTATTACATAAATACACCTGTTTTCTGTTGGACATCTGTCTTGTCTCCAGTTTTTGGCTATTTAAAACATTCTTGGATACCTCATTTCTCTCATGGATCATGCTTTTGGTGCTCTATCTAAAAACTCATCACCAAACTCAAGAGACCTAGATTTTCTCCTGTGTTTTTGTCTAGAAGTTTTATCATTTTTGCATTTTACACGTAAATTTAAGATCCATTTTGAGTTAATTTTTGTGAAAGGTGAGGTCTGTATCTAGGTTCATTTTTTTACTTTTTTTGAGAGAGTCTTGCTCTGTTGCCTGGGGCAGAGTACAGTGGCATCATTGTAATCACTGTAGCTCACAGCAACCTCAAACTTCTGGGCTCAAGCGATCCTCTTGTCTCAGCCTCTGGAGTAGCTGGGATTATGCGTGCATGCCACGACGCCTGGCTAATTTTTCTATTTTAGTAGAGATGGGTCTTGTTCTTACTCAGGCTGGTCTCCAACTCCTGAGCTCAAGCAATCCTCCCACCTTGGCCTCCTAGAGTGCTAGGGTTACAGGTGTGAACCACCACACCTGGCCTTACAGGTTTTTTTTAGAGATGGGGTCTTGCTCTGTTGCCCAGGCTGGAGTGAGGTGGCACAATCATAGCTGACTAAAACCTCACACTCCTGGGCTCCAGTGATGCTCCTGAGTGGCTCAGACTACAGGTACATGGCACTACACCTGGCTACGTTTTCTATTATTTGAAGAGATCGGGTCTTGCTATGTTGCTCGGGCTGGTCTTGAAATCCTGGCCTGAAAAGATCCCCCCACCTCAGCCTTCCAAAGTGCCAAGATTACAGGCATGAGCCACCAGGACCAGCCGCATTTTTTTTACATGTTGATATTCAATTGTTCTCGCACTATTTGTTGAAAAGACTATCCTCTCTCCACTCTGTGCCTTTATCAAAGATCAGTCTACTATATATGTGTGAGTTTATTACTCTCTATTCTGTTCCATGATCTAAGTGTCCACTCTTAAGCCAGTACCACAATGTCTTGATTACTGTAGCTTTCTAGTAAGTCCTGAAATCAAGTAGTGTGAATCCCCCAAGTTTGTTTTTCTTCAGTATTTCATTGAATATTCTAGGTCCTTTGTCTTTCCATATAAATTTTAGATCAGTTTGCTGATATCTACAGAATAGCATGCTGGGATTTTCATTGGGATTGTGCTGAATAAGTTAGAAGAAACTGGCATCTTAATAATATTGAGTCTTCTAATCTTTGAACGTGGAGTATCTTTCCATTTATTTAAATATTCTTCAATTTGTTTCATCATTTTTATAGTTTTCTATACAGAGACTCTATACATATTTTAGATTTATGTCTCAGTATTTCATTATTTTGGGTACTATTCAAAATGGTAATTTTTTAAAAAATTTCAAATTGCAATTGTTCATTGTTGGTACATCAGAAAACAACTAAATTTAGTATAAGTTGACCCTTGAACATCTCTGATTTGAAATACATGGGTCCACTTGTATGTGGATTTTTTTTCAATAAATATATTAGAAAATTTTTTGGAGATTTGCAACAATTTGAAAAAACTTACAGATGAAACACATAGCCTAGAAATATCAAAAAAATTAAGAAAAAGCTATGTCATGAATGCATGAAATATATGTAGATATTATTTTATCATTTACCACCATAAAAGATACACAAATCTATGATAAAATAAAAGTAAAAATTTATCAAACGTACGCACACAAATACTTGCAGACCGTACATGGTGCCATTCAAGGTTGAGAGAAATATAAACAAATGTCAAGATGCAGTATGAAATCATTTTATGTAGGGTTAACTGCATAAAATTAACTGCAGTACATACTGTACTACTGTAATAATTTTGTAGCCACCTCCTGTCGCTATTCAGGTGAGCTCAAGTGTTGTATGTGCTTAAAATGTTCTGTGACACGAATCATCTCCACGTGAGCAGTTTCTCTCTCCAGTAAATTGTGTAACACAGTAAAAAGGGATTGTTCAAGGTTTTCAAGTACTTTTCATTGTGTTTGGTGCAATATGATGAACCTTGAATAACACCATGAGACCCATATGAAGTGCCAATAGTGATGCTGAAAGCGCTCCCAAGAAGCAAAGAAAAGTCATGACATTATACAAGAAAAAGTTGAACAGCCTAGTAGGTACTGGAGACTGAGGTCTGAAGCTGTGGCTGCCTGAATTTCAGGTAGACAATTCACCTTGTAAATGGACAACATAAACTTACAGCATCAATAAATACAGTACAGTAAAGTAAATATATTTCCTCTTCCTTATGGTTTTCTTAATAACATTTACTTTTCTCTAGCTTACTTTATTCTAAGAATACAATACTACAGAATATGTATTGACTGTTTATGTTATTGGTAAAAAATCTAGTCAACAGATGCTGTAGTAGTTAAGTTTTTAGAGAATCAAAAGTTATATGTGGACTTTTGACTGCATAGGAGTTGGTGTTCCTAACTCCTGCATTGTTCAAGGATCAACTGTATATTGATCATGTAATCCTGTGACTTTGATATACCTGCACATTAGTTCCCACAGTTTCTTTTGTGCATTCTTTGGGATATTCTACATAGACAATTATCTCATCTGTGAATAAGGATAGTTTTATTTCTTCCCTTATAATATATACACCTTTTATTCCCTTTTCTTGTGTTATTGCATTAGCTAGGACTTTCAGTACAATGCTGAATAGGAGTGGTGAGTAGGGACATAATACTGAGTGTTAACTAATATTCACAATGATGACCTGTGGCTATCAGATTCAAAGTAAAGACAAAAGATTTTTATATTATCTGTCCTACTGTCCCTCACTAAGGTATAGTGAAGCACTAATTATGTATATTACATCCTTTTGCTTTCAAATTCTGCCAACATGGGCAAAATGAACCTCATAGGCTAATAAATATACGTCATTAAAAACAAATGCATTTAAAAATCATCTTTAGTTTATAAATTTCTTAACTTGCAAAACGTATAAAATGTTTTCAAAACTTACCATGGACTAAACTATTGGTGGGTGCTACAAGAGTATCCCACAAACATATGTTTCTGGAAAAAAAAAGATTACTTCTTGAGTGACACAAAAAATTAACAACAGAACAAAAAACTAAATGTCTCATATAATTACATAACATTTGAATTGAACCTTGCTCTTACAGATTTCTAAATTTATAAAAGCACCAGATACAAGTTGCCAACAAATTTACATATGATAAATTTTATACAAAATTTAAAAACTACTAGCTTACAAAATAATTTCAGATTAACATGCATTTACAAATAATTCTATATGAAGCCTGAATATGGAGACTAGTTTTTGTATTCACAGATTCTCTAATCTAATTGTTGGACTGACATAAACAGACAGCAGAAGACACTGAATTTTCTTTAGCACAAAGAAAACTCATTTCTGCTATATGGTGGCACCAATATATGTAAGAAATTTCTATGATGGGCTGAAGAATCCATAGTCTTACAATCCTGTTTCTAGTGCAAAGTGAGGTCTTACCAATAAATATAAAGGCTCAGCAGCCTTAGTGGGACTTGACAGCAGAACTCAGTTGTATGACGGAAGCCAAAAGAGGGGTGAGGAGATGGGGGCAGGAGGAGACACTTTCTGGCACACTTAGCTTTTCTCTGGGAGCAGGGTAGGAGGGGACTGTCACCAGCTACTGTACAACTAACAAGTCTTTTTGAGTTTCTTGTTTATTTGTTGTGAAACAGTAATAATATCTATCTAATAGGGCCACAGTGAGGATTAACTGAATTAACTAAGTAATATGGCCAATAAATAGGTTTTTTTGCCTCAAGCTTTCTTAAACACATAGAGAATAATATGGATGTTTATTTCACTAACAACCAAGTCCTTTTCTTCTACGCTGTTTTAACATCAGAATATTAAAAATACAGAAGAAATGGATTTTGTTTTTTATGGCATCAAAACTTCCCTAGTGTCAATTAGGACACTAAAAATTGTCTAAGTAAAAAACAAGCCTTTATAATAAAAATATTTTACCTAACGGCATAATTAATAAAAACATTGAGACAAAAGTACATAAAGCAATAAAAAAGTTCCGCTGTACACACACATATTTCAATTTCAGCTGTCATCTCTTACCTATTGTCAGTTGAAAGACCAGCAGTGGCTATCAAAGAGGAGGAACTAACGAAGACAAAATCGTTTGCTGTTTTGTTATGACACTGCCAAGTCTGGAATGGTTACAAACAATTAATGTTATTGTTCTCACTAAAAATTTCATAACCAGGTAGATGTTATTATTCAAAAAGTAATCATATGGTTCATGGCTTTTTAAAATTGTTTGTGTCTTTTTTCCCTCTGAACTTTAGAAAAGTTGTAACAAAAGTAACACAGAGAACTTTCATATAACCTTTAGCCAGATTCAGCAATTTTTAACAATTTACCACATTTGTTTTGTTTCTCCTTCTCATTCATAGATGTACACGCACACACACTTTTCCTGAACCATTGAAGTAGGCTGCATGTGTCATGAACCTTTACAAAGCCCTTTGCTTTTGTCCAACCAAAAGTTCCATGGGAAAAATAAAGTGGATAAACTTCACAATTTTCCCTTAGTATATTCAGTGAAAATTTTTGTCTTAGGAGAAGATAGAAACCAGGTTTTTAGATTATCATAGACTTAATTATCTTTGTTAAGCAATTGGCACCATGTATTTTTAGACATATTTAAACTTTTAAATAATTATTGAAATGCATGGTAAAATTAGTAATAGCCACCAAAATTAGAAAATTTATAGAGTATTTCTCAATATTCCATCAAACAATAAACTTAAGAAACTATGAGAGGTCTAGTCAATTATAAAAGTTTCTAAGTTATATTTGTTTAGATATTTCTCTTCAATAAAAAATGAATGTAAGTATGCCAAAATGACCACACCAAAGATTTTTCCTTTGAGCCACCTTCCCATGCCCCTGGAACACCAGTGGAGCTGGGCTGGAAGATGTGTCCTTAAAACAAACAAAATCTACATTTATCTCTAAAAGCCAGTTATGTACTTTATCTCTAAAAGCAGTCCTTTAGGGAACAAAAACTTGCACATCTAAATCTGTTGGTTTAATGTAAATATGAGAAAAAGATAATATTCTTTCAGGTTACCCTAACTGACCCTCCCCATGCTTGCTTGCTTGCTTGCACTTAGATCAGTACTGTAGTCTAGCCTTTAACCACAGGCAAATTACCAGAATCTCAACCTATATTCTAAATTTATTCCTGATAGGTATTGCTTAGTCTTATAAAGGACTTCATGGAAGAATATTTTAAATATAAATTCAGTATCTACGAAGCCACAGAAGGTTCACCAAGCCTGTATAGTCCTGAATAGAGACGTGTCAATATTCTGCTAAAAAAAGAGATGAATGAGAAAATAACAGTACCAGCTATAGGATGTCCTTTCTACTTAGCCCGTTCATAAGTGATAACTACAGAAAAATAACCAGATGCACTGGTCTGTTAATCATTCTATTTAGGCACAATATCCCGCTTAGGGGATATTGTAGAAAAGGGCACTAGTAATCCACAGGTTGTATAGGTCTCCGGAGGTACCATATTGGTTCTACACATGTTAGCTTTCCAAATTACCAGATATTAATACTAAGGGATTTTTAAGCTTCACAGTGTAATTTTCACATAATACAAGAACAGGAACTTATAGTAAAGTGATTGAGTACACAGTACTAGATTTTATTTATTGGCTTTAATACTTTTTTTTTTTTTGAGACAAAGTCTCACTTTTTTGTCCAGGCTAGAGTGAGTGCCGTGGTGTCAGCCTAGCTCACAGCAACCTCAAACTCCGGGGCTCAAGCAATCCTTCTGCCTCAGCCTCCCGAGTAGCTGGGACTACAGGCATGCGCCATCATGCCTGGCTAATTTTTTTTTCTATATATTTTTAGTTGTCCAGCTAATTTCTTTCTATTTTTAGTAGAGACGGGGTCTCGCTCTCGCTCAGGCTGGTATTGAACTCCTGAGCTCAAACAATCCGCCCGCCTCGGCCTCCCAGAGTGCTAGGATTACAGGCGTGAGCCACGGCGCCCGGCCGGCTTTAATACTTCTTGCCTCAAATATATATTCTTGGCTTCTCTGAAATACAAATTCAAATTTTATATAACGGTAGGAATTCTTGGCTTACCAGGTATGGCTTAGGCATGCTTCCAGTAACTGGACAACATTTCCAGTTTGTTTGATACAAACTTAAATATCCATCAGCATCAACTATTCCAAACTTAGAGAAAAAAATATTTGAAAGTATTTAATATAAATGTAAAAGCACATATTTATCCTTACCCTCATGGTAACACCCATATTTTGACTCTTAAATATTTGATTGATACACTGAATTTTCACTTCACCTATGCATGGATCTAGTTCAGATAAACATTTAAGTAGTACTTAAAAAAATTCCAGGGTGGACATAAAGGGAACAAATATCAGATACCCATTTTATTACACTAATCAACAGCATAGTCTATATATTTTCTATAAATACTCTAAATATAGGATATTGGATTAACACATTAAGCTATATGACAAAGCTTTATCATATATAAGTCTGAAAACTTTGTTCATTTTGAAAAAGACAAAATAAGGACTTTCAAATACAGTAAAGAAAACATACAAACAAGAGTAGAAAGCAAAATAGTAAAAGAATTTCACAATGGGAACTCAAGACACTTTTGACTGGGAAGACACGCTAATAATACAATAAGGGAATATGTGATACAGATCTTGAAGGATGAGTAAAATCGCTAAATTTTTTTCTTGAGATTATAAAAATAATGCATGCTTATATAAAGTATATAATATACAACAAATGTCTGCTTTGGACTCCTGTCTTCCCTCTGCTCCAGTTCTAACATCTATTAACAATTTGATGTGTTTTCCTCTATGATTTGTGTCTATGAATATTCAAACATTCACACATACAACATTTTTTAAGAAAAGTAGGATCATAATATACTGTTCTACAATTACATTTTTTCTGTATTATAACCATCTTTCCATGTCAATACATGGAAAGATGTATATATCTAGCTCATTCTTGAGCTTTGTAGTATTACACTATATAGGTGTATTATGATTTAAAACTCTCCCCTTTAGACAGTTTTCAATTTCCCTATTACAAAAAGTACTGCTTTGAGCATTTTTATACTTTTGCATAACCATGTTTGATAGATATCTAGAAATGGGAAAGCTGTGTCAAAGAGCATCCTCTAAAATTGATAGATGACACTAAAATTAAATCCTAAGTAGCAATATGAATTTACAACCACTTTTTTCTTACACTTTAGTCAACATTGAATGTCATTAAAATTTCAAATATTTGTCAATTTTATACAGGGAAAAATCTCATTTTCATTTGCATTTCTTCAATTATTAACGATGGTCCTTGACAATGTATAATTTTTTGGTAAACTGTTCACATCCTTTGCCTACTTCTCCCTTAAGTTGTCTTTTAAAGAATTTGATCAATAGGGTTAATATTAGGCATATTAACCTATTATTTTTATATTTGTTATAGATATTTTTCTAGAATCTATTCCTTTTTCTGGTTCATCTTGTATTTTCTGGAGTTGATCCATGGATGTTCTTCAGAAAAGGTATGCACATGGAATGTGTTAAGTTTCTGCATAACCAAAAATATGTTTATTCTGTCATCAAATTTGAATTATACTTTGGATGGAAATCGACTTAGTTCCCATTCCTTGTCCATCAGAATTTTGTGGATATTGTCCTATTGCCTGTTTGTAATTTTTATTTTTGAGAGTAGGCCAATGCCATTAATTTGAGGAGGGAAAGAAATTGTAAGTAACTATTTTTACCCCCACTCCTCTTCAGAAGCTTATAGGATTCTCTTTATCCTTGAATTAAGAAAATAAAAAATAAATAATCAGGATGTGTGCAGGTACATGTTTTTTCTCAATACTTATGCCTACTACTTGGCAGGCTCTTACTCTTATAAAGTTCTATTCTTTGCTTTGGGGAAATATTTATTATTTCTTTGAATATTGCTTCTCCTCTATAATTTTTTTCTTTTTTGGAAATATTTCCTGAGTTATTTTCATAATGGGTCCATTTTTTAATTTGTGCTTCCCAATCACAAACTTGATTTTCAACAATTTCCATTGTGCTATTCAGCTTTTCTAATGAGCAGTTCTCCCACTGACCACAACTTTGGAGAATCATGTTTTTAATTTCTGAGAACTCTTTCCTCTTCTACTGTCCTTGTTTCATGCTAGTCTGATTTTGTTTTATAAATGTAATACATTCCTGAATGTCTCTGAGCAATTGTTCCTCACAGATCATTTATTTTGTTTAATCCCCCTTTTCAGACTCTTAGTTTTTCTGTAATGTTCACTGACTTTTGGTAGTACATTGCTATTTATAATTAACAAATTCATCAGAATTATTGTGATACAGAGTGGGTCATCTCTTCCATTTACCTCAGTAGGCTTCCCTAGTAGAGGAGATAGCATGCTTAGGTGTTGTGCTATTTGGCTCAATCATGGCTAAGGGGAATGAACAGTAAGTTGGTTGCCTGTCAAAGATACTTGGGCAGGCAATGAATAGTTTGTCACGCCTTAAAATAGCCTATGTGGAAGGCTGTAGAGAGTGTTAAAGCTGAAAAATCAATTGGATTGCAGAAGTTCTTAAATATCATGCTAAAGAATTTGACATTAGGAACCTTGAAGAATTCTTAAATAAAAAACAGTAATATGATCTTACTCATATTGTAGTCATGTAACTATGTTGTTTGTTATATAACTTTGTTGGCAAGATGCATTAGAGAGATAAGGGTTGAGGTGTAGAGACTGGTTAGGAGCAATATAATATTGATAACTGAAGTGGCAAAGTATGACCACATAAAGGACATTGATAGGGAATACAATTGAAAAGTACAGTAGAATTGTAAAGGCTTCAGCATCAAATCCCCTTGATTCCCCATTAAGGAGAAAAGAATGTTGCTAACTGGCATTAGGAAATAAGCTCTCAAAATTTTGTTTCATAGCTACATGAAACAACATTGACTTTTGCGAAATGGAAATAGAACCATGTAACAAACATGGTAGACAAAAAAGTTGCAGCACAAAATGACACAAGTAACATGTGAGGAGAGTTGAAGGCTAAAAGGAAAGAAAAGGCAGGATGTACCATCAGCTGGGGTCTGTGGGAATAATTTTTGGTGAAGCATGGCTCTGAAGACAAAGAGCAGGCTGATTTTCCCTTTAATTGTTGTTTAAAGAGCCAGTAAGATATTGGGGGCAGAGAGAGGCAGTGTGAGGGAAGTAGGATTATGGGAACTGAAGACAGTACGGGATATTCTATAGAGCAGGGTTGGCAAATGTTTCTTAAATGGCCATATAATAAATATGTTTAGGTTTGCCAGCTATAAGATCTTTGTCTTCCTGAACTCTGCTGTTGTAGTGGGAAATAGCCAAAGAAAACAAATAATGAATGGCGTAACTGTGGTTCAATAAAACTTTACTTACAAAACAGGTGGCTAAGGCCATAGTTTGCTAATGCCTTGTTTTAGGTAGTGCCTCTCAAAACTTTAATGTGTGTAAAAATCACAATAGTATCTGGTTAAAACGGAGATGGTAACCAAGTAGATAAGGAGAGGGGTCAATAGTATCTGTACTTCTAGCAAGTTCCCAGATGTTACTTGCTGCTTGGTGCTGGATCATACTTTGAATAGGTTCCAAGGGATAAAGAAAGTAGAAACATTTATTAATCAAAAATGTGTAATTAAGGTGAACATATAATCACCTGGTTCTTAAGAATCATGTAAATGAATTTTATTGGACATATATATAACACACTTCCAGGAAGAACCAAATGAATTTAAGTGATCTTGGAGAGGAATTAAAAATAAATTCATAAAGATTAATACTACACTACTAGCTCACTGAGTTGTTCTTTCAGAAACCCAAACTAGTGATATTTATGAGCCTCCAACACAATCAACCCTTTTTACCATTTACATTTTTACATACTACCTTATTTCCCTGATAGTTAAATCTCATTCTTGTAACTCTTGAATTGCCACCAGATCGAAAACAGGTTATTTGTTGAGAATGGCCCCATTCAAACATTCTGACACTTCCGTCTTGAGCTCCTGTCAGATCTGCATTGTAAGAGAGCAAAAATTGCAAATTTATTTAAAGAATCTTTGGGAAAACTTATTTCTTAATTGAATATGGAAATATTTATGGAAGAAACACCTAAGAAATGAATCATAATCAATTTATATGAATTTACCTCTGTATGAAATTTCATTTGAATGCCCTTTATCATAAAAACAGTTATATGATGTACTTTTCATTTGACTGAATGTATCCTCCAACAAAAGAACAGAAACATTCAAATCATATCTCTATAAATTGTATGTCCCTTTAAAATTATCTCAAAAAAAAATTTTTTTTTTTTTTTTGAGACAAGGTCTTGTTCTGTTGCCTGGGCTAGAGTGCAGTGGCATCATCACAGCTCACTGCATCCTCAAAGTCCTGGGCTCAAGCAGTTTTCCTGTTTCAGCCTCCTGAATAGCCGGGACTACACGTGTGCACCACCACACATGGCTAATTTTTCTATTAATATTTTTTGTAGAGATAGGGTCTCACTCTTGCTCAGGCTGGTTTCAAACTCCTGACATCAAGCAATCCTCCCGTCTTGCCTCAGGAAGTGCCAGGATTACAGGCGTCAGCCACTGTGCCCGGCCTCAATGATGTTTTAATTGCCTTTAACAAATAATTTTTATGATAACTATTCACTACAACAAATTCTTGGGATTGTTAAAGAGCCAATCCTTATCAGTCATACTACTAATGTTTATCAGCATCATGCTCTAACCAACTGAGCTAACCAGCCACATTTTTCTCTGAAAAAAAATCAGATTATGGAAGGTTCTGAATGCCATGCTGAAGAAAAAAATCATTTCTAAAATTTAAATATAATATAATCTATTTCATTGAGGAATATGAGGAAGCTAAACGATTACTAATTCTTCACTTTATCATTTACTACTTGTGTTATGCTAGAAAACTTACCTAGTCTCTCTGAGACTATTTCCTTCCTGTAAAAGGGACTAACAATATAAGTCACTGGACAGTTGTGAGAAGTAAATGAAATCATATATATAAAGCACTCAGAAATAAACCTAATATATAACACTCAATTTATATTAAGGATAATTATCAATATTAATGTGGTATGGGGTAAAAATTATATTAATGTATATAAAACATCTAGCACATTACTAATCACATATCCATCAAGTTTCCCTCGTTCTTTACCAAGTATTTAAAATAAATGAACTTCAATTGCTTCGAGATGTTTCACCCTTGGGCGGGGGTAAGAGGGTGAGTAGAATTTGTTGAGGCTGGGATGCTGACTCTTCCCCTTTTCCCCCAATGCACTTGCTTAGCTTAATCAGAAAAATTAATTGGGCTAACTGCATTTAAAAACCACTCAAATTTCTCCATTATTTATGGTGTTAAAAAGAAATTGAGAGCCAGGCATGGTGGCATGTGCTTGTAGTCCCAGCTACTTAGGAGGCTGAAGCAGAAGGATAGCTTGAGCCCATTAATTCAAGGCTGTGGTGTGCCATGATCCCATCTGTGAATAACCACTGCGTCCCAGCCTAGGTCACATAGTGAGATCCTGTCTCTAAAAGAAAAAAAAAAAAAAAAAATTAATTGGGAGGCCATTAGGCTGAGATGGCTCCAGGGTCTTGGAGCTGAAACCCAACTCAATGTAATAGTAAAAGGAAACTTAAGCTTAACCAATCAAAAACCACCAACTAATTTCTAATTAGAGACTTATTAATTAGAAACTGCCAACCAACCTCAAACTAAGGGTTTTCCATTTTAACCAATCAAATCTTTGTCTTGTTTCCTCAAACACCTTCTGAAAGTTTTCCCCTCACCTTGGTGAAGTCCTGACTGGTTGTTGTTTGGTATTGCCTGATCCATGAATTTGAGCTGAATGCTCAAATAAACTCATTAAAATTTTAATGTGCCTAGGTTTATCTTTTAACAGTTCTAGTATCAGAAGAGGGACACAAAGAAGGCTCCCTGATGATGACACCCAGGAGCAATGAGTAACAAGGCAGAGTATCCTTCGCTGAGCCCCTTGTGCATCTGGAGGTTACCACCAGATCTGAGCTCTGCAGCTTCTGAGTATTTTTCACCCAGACTAGGTCTGGAAGTCAGATTGGGTCCAGCATAGACAGGAAGCCTCAGGTAGATAAAGTTTTGAAAAGACAGGAAATCATGGGTTCATCTGAATTTAATGAGTCTAGAATTCCTCCATCTGGAAGGAACTCCAGCTAATTTTATGTATAAACATTACAGACCTAGAACCCAAGCCTTTCTAGATAAATGGGTAAACCTTACCAAAGGTAATTTAGAATTACGGTAGCCACAATGAAGAAGTTTTTAACTTAAACAAAATTGCCCAACCATAGGGCGCACTGGAAAGGAAGGAATCCCTAATGCCTCAGAAATAATGGAAATCAGAAATTGCCTCTCTAAAGACTCCTTAGGAAAAGGCAAATGAAAAATCTTAAAATCTTTTTTCACAAATACTAGTAAAAAGTTTTCACAATCTGGGTGGGTAATCTTGTTCTATTGGCCAAAAACACAATTTGGATCCAGATTATCTTTTATAAACTAATGAGTTTGACATTATTGTACCTGACACATGTCAAAAATTTTAGAATGAAAGCTCTAGAATCTGCTTCTATGTGTTTATGTATGTCTGTATATGTTACATATGTGTAATATTTTTTATTTCCAGATGGTACTGCCCAAATTAATTCGTAAAGGAGCTCTAAATAATTGACTTAGAGAACTAAGTGACTTAATTGGCACTTATATAAAATAAGCACTTAATTAGCAATAAATGGCATGTATGTGTGTGTGTGTGTGTGTGTGTGTGTGTGTATACGAATTAAGTACTCTTTAAACTTTTCTAATGGAAAGATAGAAACTGACCCAATTTTTTTTTTTTTTTTTTTTTTTTGCCGTGGCATCATCCTACCTCACAGAACCTCAAACTCCGGGGCTCAAGCAATCCTCCTGCCTCAGCCTCCCAAGTAGCTGGGACTACAGGTATGCACCACCATGCCTGGCTAATTTTTTCTATATATTTTTAGTTGTCCAATTAATTTCTTTCTAATTTTAGTAGAGATGGGGTCTCGCTCTTGCTCAGGCTGGTTTCGAACTCCTGAGCTCAAATAATCCGCCCGCCTCGGCCTCCCAGAGAGCTAGGATTACAGGCGTGAGCCACCGCGCCCGGCCTGACCCAAATATTTTTCAAATTCATGTGCTCTGGGATAATCTTTGGTAAATAAAAGCTAATATATATTTGTTGGTTTAACTAAAGCAGATACACCTTTAGAATTGTGAGCATTATATATATATGATACGTATCTTTTATTTCACTTGGTTTTACTAGTCAAATAAGCTCACATTATCTCTGTTACAAAATTTGTCAGCAAAAAATAAAAAAATAAAAACTATCTTGATGATGGCTAGTCTTTTTTGGTGTTATGTCTACTTAAAAGTAGTTTCCCAAATCTCTTTGGCAACCACGCCCTTAAAGTTTTACTAAGTTAAATTAAACAATGCATATTCATTAAACATGTAGATCATTTCCAAATAAGGTAAAAATACCGAATATTAATTGTTAAACATAAGGTTATCTAACTTTTTGCTTCTTATGACAAAAGAACTAAAGCTATTTGGGTCTGTTAGTAAACATGTCCTATGCCACATTGAAAAACTGTACTATGAAAAAGAATATGCTTCTGTAAATTATGAAAAGGTATATTTACAGAATTGCCAGTCTATAGAATGTTGGTGTGACAATGCAGAATTGCTTATTTCCTAGTTTTCACTAGAAATCAAAGTTACTAAAAGTCAGTAATTCTAATTAATATTTAAAACTACTAAAAATAATAAGAGAAGTAATTCTGTACGTGAGGAAGGTAAGACATGTTTTTGGTAAGTGAAGCTATGATGTATAAAGGATATGTTTTTTGTTATGGGAAAAAGAGTAATTTTTGTCCTAAAGTAGAGTTGTTCCACATTAGGAAAGAGGAAGAGTATAGGACAAAATATAAATGGATGTAAGAAAGTTGTAGAAGGTTTGTGGAAAAGGAATTTAGAAAAGGAATTTGACGTATGGTCAAGCTGGCTAATATTTGAATGGGTTTATATATGTTATTAAAAGAATGATGAGTCTTAGTATCAAAAGTACATTGGTACAAAGTTTCTCCTGGAGTATTGGTTTTCTCTTAATAAGAGATTGTGAAAGATTTTTCTTTACGTTTTAAGTAATCCCACTAGGAATTACTTGGAAACCAAGATTTTGTGTTTTATCAAGATAATAATTTCCTGTGCTTCATGTTGTCTTTAACTAGGTCTTTGAACACTTAAGAAAACTGAGTCTTCTCAATATTAAAAAAGCTAAGGTTTTTTTCTACAGCAATGTAACTTTCTGTATTTGCCTTTGAAGACTTTTAATTATCACTCTGGCTAAATGAATAAGTATTGTTCCAGTGACCTGTGATCCTATTAGTCAAATGTTTTAAACCATTTGATATTTTTGACAAATTTCCCAAAATCAAATTCTAAATTAAGTCTTTTTCACCTCAAACTAACTTTGGAAGTTTCCAGAGGACCCTTTGAATACAGCAAAATAATTTGTTTTCTCTCTTCCTCTTAAAATAGATGTAAACTAAGTAGGCTTGTCTGATATGTTAAATTGCATGGGAAACACTGTCAAATAAAGGTGATGTTCAACCTTCTTAGATTATATTTGTAGGGTATATGTAATTGATGTAAGTATTCAAGAAACTGTATGAAATTTCTAAAAATCTGATATGTTCTCCTAGAATGTTATTAGTCATACTTTAAGTTAACTATGTTAAAAAATATTCTATGCTGTGGAAACAGTCAAATTTCCTTATCAATTGCATCATTAAAAGTCTAATTTAGGCCAGAAGTGGTGTCTGACTGCTGTAATCCTAGCACTTTGGGAGGCCTAGGTGGGAGGATTGCTTGAGCTCAGGAGTTTGAGCAGAAGCAAGACCCTGTCTCTACAAAGAATAGAAAATCTAGCCAGGTGTGGTGGCACATGCCTGTAGTCCTAGCTACTTGGGAGGCTGAAGCAAGAGGATCACTTTAGCCCAGGAATTTGAGGTTGCAGTGAGCTATGATGATGCCACTGCACTCTAGCCCGGGCAACAGAGTGAGACTCTATCTCAAACAAAATTAAAAAAAAAAAAAGAAAAGAAAAATTGTCTTCCATGAAACCAATCCCTGGTGCCAAAAGTGTTGGGGACCACGGGCCTAGAGGATTGGAACTTTCAGCCTCCACCACCAAACTACAGAAGAGGGTGGGGGAGGAAGCCAGAGATTAAACTCTATAAAAACTCTTAAATAAGGAGATTTGATGTGAATGCATCCATGCGTGGGGAGGGCAGAACATCTCAACTCCAGGGGACAGAAGCTCATGGGCTTAGGACCCTTCCAGACCTTACCCTGTGTATCTCTTTGTATCCTTTACAATATCCTTTATAATAAACTGGTAAATCTAAGTAAAGTGTTTCTCTGAGTTCTGTGAATCATTCTAGGAAATTAATCAAACTCGAGAAGGGTGTTGTGGAAACTCCAATTTACAGCTGGTCAGTAAGAAAGTATTTGGAGAGTTGGACAATGGCATGGGGTGGAAAATACCAACACATTTGCTATCAGAAGTGTTTGTGAGAGTGTAGAAAAATAGAGTGTGTTTTCCCACCCAGAAAATTATAAATGCACTAGGTTAACTTTTAAAGAGTTCTTGGGAGGATAAGTCAAAAAGTAGTGGCTTAGAATGACTAAGACTTTTTTTTCTAAAATTACATCCTGCACTCCTTTTTAAGAAGACTAAGATTTTTTAAAAGATCTATTCCAAGGGAAGAAAACAGCTATTTTGAGGTATCTGAACTTCAGAGTAAGATTTTTTAAAAATTCTATCTCAACATTTTCACTACATAAAAAGCACTTATTGTTGAACTATATTACTATCTGTGGGACTTGTTCATGGCATGAAAAGATATGCCAAAAAAAATCCAGTGATTAATATAATTAGTTTTTAATCGTTTGGCTCTCTTAGCTGCCAGTTACGGTAGTTCTCTGAACAGAGGAATTGTTTTTTTCTCAAGACAGCAGTGATTTGATGTCACCTAATACCTCTGAAAATAGGTCTGCTAATTCCCTTTGAAGCTGGGGGAGTCTCTGTATTTAAATTTATGGGCTTCAGGTAGAGGATATTTCTACAAACTAGTCACCTGTCAGGACACATGCTATTGGGGCTAAGAGAAAATGAGGTTCCTTCAATATCTCAGGAAATTTCCAAACCAGACTGTACAGTAAGGATAGTTTTAAGCAATACCAAATATTTCTTGTTGTGGGAGTAATATTATTTGAACTTTGTATATAAAATACATTTTGACTCCTTACTCTACAGGCTTCATGACTGTTTTTTAGTTCTCACTTCACATTAAACTTGTGGATAAAAAATACATTCTTCTAGTGTTGAATAAATTTAGTGTAGTAAAAACAGATTAATCTTTTATATTATTTTATACCTGTAGTATAAGTAATAGAAGGCATTCTCTTCATTTTAAATATATGGTTCTCTTGAGCCTTTTTTTGGACAAAGTATATAATTTTGATAATAAATGCTTATAGCACTTACCATAATTAAGCAGAAAGGAACAATGATTTTGTTAATTGTATTTTATCGGAATATTTCCCATGAGAAAAGGTTGTAAATTTTTTATAGGTTATTAACTTGGGGGGACATGAATACCCTTAATTAACATGTACTATTTTTGTTACTGTGTGGTAGGACAACTTGACAAAGGGTACAACTTAAAAATCATTTAAGAAAAACCTGGAATACTCACATACCAATATGAGTACTGATTCCAACCCACCAGAATTAACACCTCCAATAAAGTCCTATTAATTAAGTTCTTGGATAAAAGAAGAGAACTCTGGAGATTTCTAGGAAAATTAACTGAAAACAAACATATTCTGCCCTAGAATATAAGAACATACTAATAACTATTTCCTATGCTTACTACTTAATGTATCTCACAATAGGCAAACTGCAAAAAATTAATGAAACACAAACTGATTATGATTAGGCAGTAAATGACCAAGGTAAGGACCTGGTCTATGTAATAAAAGTTGGCAGTGATCCTATTATTAAAATAATAATTATCCACTACAATTTAGCATTGTCTAAGGAATCCAGAAGTGTTTAAAGATAAAATGTGCTGAGAAATATGCAGCCAAAATGCCAAAAAATTTACTGCATTGAGTTAGCCTTCTCTATTAATTAAGGGAAATTTCTTTTTCTATTTTTAACCAATTTTGAAATGAAGAATTTATTTACTAGCAAATATTCTCTATAAAAATAGTTGAGTAAATACTGTCTTTCAATTGACAATGTTCCCCTAAATTTCTTATAATAAAAATTACCAAAAATAGAATATAATAAGAAAGAATAATCACTAATTATTATCAACTTACAGTAAGGAAGACTTGGATGAGAAGTCATTCTTCTAACATTATTAATGGCTTTCTTAATCATCTGGTGAAAAAAGAAAAATTATTTTATAATCACAATAAAAAGTAGGATTAAAAATTTGAATTGTGACAGGAAATTCAGGCATTTATTTATTTAGTTTTATGTCATTTCATAACTATCATTATGGGTACTAAAAATATAATACACATGACAACAGAAATTTAATAGTGCAGCTTTTAAAGTGTGCATGTTTTCTGCATTATTGACTAAGATATAAGAACAAATTCTCCTCAAGAATTTAGTCTTCCCTTTCCTGCCAATTCTTTTCTGATACCATTAAATTTACTGTAATAATCCTGAATAGTATGAGGTTAAAAAGACATAAGCATGTGAAAATAAAGGAGAAAATAAACAAAAAATTGAACTTTTTTTTTTTTTTTTGAGACAGAGTCTCACTTTGTTGCCCTGGCTAGAGTGAGTGCCATGGTGTCAGCCTAGCTCACAGCAACCTCAAACTCCTGGGCTCAAGCAATCCTACTGCCTCAGCCTCCCAAGTAGCTGGGACTACAGGCATGCGCCACCATGCCCGGCTAATATTTTCTATATATTTTTAGCTGTCCAATTAATTTCTTTCTATTTTTGGTAGAGACGGGGTCTCGCTCTTGCCCAGGCTCGTCTCGAACTCCTGAGCTCAAACAATCTGCCTGCCTCGGCCTCCCAGAGAGCTAGGATTACAGGCGTGAGCCACCGTGCCTGGCCTGAACATATTTTTAATTGACAGTTTGGAACTATTTATTTGCTCGTTTTTAAGTCATACTTTGAATAATTTAACTAGCCTGTCCAGTAAAACATAAGGGGAAAATTTAAATTTATAGAACATTTCCTATTTATACAGCACCGTAATTACAGTTGTATGTTATCCTAAGTTTGTATATCAGTCTCAGGTAAATTTTGTTGTTATTCTTTTGGATTTTAAATTGTTCAGTTAGCCTAAGTTGTAGAGAAGGTGGGCAGTTGGTAGGGAGGAAAGAGACTAGGCCAGAGCACTAGTGAGGGATAGAAAAACTGAAAGATACATATAGATGCAGCTTCTCCAAAATGGCAGAAGCTGCTCATGACAAGTATTCTTTTCGTCATTAGTACTGGTCATTTGAAAAAATGATAGTATTAAAAAAGAAAATATAAAAACCTGCTGAATATTACTTTTGTTTATTAAACTTCATGTTTATTTCCCATGTTCATCTTAAAAAAATGCCTAAAGCTTCCTTTACTTGCTTCTTTTTTTTCTGATTAATATATCCAAGGAGAACCATGAGTCAAAAAATAGAAACATAGGTTAAAAAAAGTTTCTGAAAGCGTATGTGGAACATCAGACAAAGAAGTCATTAACTACTTTAGAAGATCCATTTAAAAAAGAATAACCTTATTCTATTGGCTATCTTCTTCTCCAGGGTAGAGTGAGGCAATCCTAATATAGGTTCTCAAATTACAATTACCCCAACTAAAAAGCTGTTTTTCTAAGATTTGGATAGGAAGAAAATTCAGTCCTAAAAGGAATGCTGAAGGTAGATTTCAATATTATAATGCTTTGGAGTATAAATAAATTTTTCTGAACACTTACTATATGTCCAGTACCATTCTAGCTAGGGATCATCAATCTACAAGGCAGGCAGAATCCAAGCTATCTAAGAGCTTACATTCCAGAGGGGTATAAAAAACCCAACTAGGCCGGGCGCCGTGGCTCACGCCTGTAATCCTAGCTCTCTGGGAGGCCGAGGCGGGCGGATTGTTTGAGCTCAGGAGCTTGAAACCAGCCTGAGCAAGAGCGAGACTCCGTCTCTACTAAAAATAGAAAGAAATTAATTGGACAACTAAAAATACACAGAAAAAATTAGCCAGGCATGGTGGCGCATGCCTGTAGTCCCAGCTACTCGGGAGGCTGAGGCAGTAGGATCACTTGAGCCTGGGAGTTTGAGGTTGCTGTGAGCGAGGATGACGCCACGGCACTCTAGCCTGGACAACACAGTGAGACTCTGTCTCAAAAAAAAAAAACAAAAAACAAAAAAAAACCCAACTAAATAATGAACAGATAATTTCAATAACTGGTATGTGCTATAAAGATGATATAATGCGGGAGGAGGAGGGGGAGAAAAGAGACGATAAAATGAGATAATAAGATATAAGGTGAGTAGGGGTGAAATGGGTAGGGGCAAATGCCTTCATTAGGGAAGCCAGGGAAATCCCTGGGCATATGAGTTGAGATGAGAATGGTAAAACAGAGGGAAAGAGCATTTTAAGCAGAAGGCAAGGCAAAGGCTCTAACATGGCAATGAGCTTGATATGTTCAAGACACAGAAAAAGAATCAAATGGAGAATGAAAAGAGATGAGGCTCCAGAGGCAGGCAGGGGTTAAATCTTGCAGAGCCTTAGAAACCATATATTAGTGATTTGTTTTTTTACAGTCATATTGGGAAATGTGAAATTTTTAAGGAGGGGAATAACAATCTGAATGATGTTTTAGAAAAGAGTAATTGGCTGCTGTGTAGAAGAGAGGGAGCAAGAGACCAGCAAGAAAGCTGTTACATGTAGTCTCTGAAACCAGAGTTTAAAAAAAGGGCCTATTATTTATACTCATATCTTTTGTATATTCTCTTTAAGTTCCTTTTAAATAATTACAATATCAGTAAGTTTCACAAGTGAAATTTCATTTCACTTGAATAATTCCTGGATTGCTTTTTAAATTCAATTTAATCCTTAAAATACTGCTACCTGAAATCATGAAACTAGGGGGAAGGAAGAGGAGGCTTTAAAACAATATCTACCACAAATTCAACACAGTGACCTGAGTTGAATCACGTGACCTTTCTAGATCTCAAGCTTTATCTGAAGAATGATTAAGTAGGAGTAAACAACAGCTGCAATAGGTATTTCAAGAGAATTATAAGGTTTATCACCTATAAAGGAATTGCATTAAGTAAAAAAAATTATAAGGTATTACTAAAGATGACTGAGCCTTTACTTGAATAATTACTCATACTAATTAATGAAAATAATTTATTTTTAGCCAAAGTTAGCACTCCACAGGACTTCTGAAATTTTTACAAACCCTACCACCTAGAAAGCCATTGAAAGAGTTCATGGTACTGGGTTTCTTTGATTCTATGTATAAATTCCTACACCGTAAGTATCAATAAAGGAAACTTTTGGAAATATAAATATGGATCACATCTTAGGTAATTAGGGTTCAAAGAGCTCCTCCATCACTACAGAAAAATTGTTTCAGTTCATCTGTATATTATATTTTGCTTAATTTTAAAAAAATTTACATTGTTTTTGCTAAAAAAGAATAATATATTTGTCTCAGCATTAAAAAATAAAAGTCATACTTAATGTGGACACAGTTGTTAACTGATATCCAATAAAAGATATTATCTAGACCAGGAGTTAGCAAATCTGCTTTTATAAAGGACTGGACAGTATCTTGGGCTTTATGGGCATATGGTGTCTGCTGCAGATTCTCAGTTCTGCCACTGTAGCATGATGCAGCCATAGACAAAATACAAACCAATGAATATGGCTGTGTTCCTATAAAACTTTATTTATAAATACACACTGAAATTGCATTTCATGTAATTTTCATGTGCCAAAAAATACTACGATTTTTTTTTTCTTTTTTTTTTTGAGACAGTCTCATGCTGTTGTCCAGGCTAGAGTACTGCGATGTCAGCCTAGCTCACTGCGGTATCAAACTCCTGGGCTCAAGTGATCCTCCTACCTCAGCCTCCTGAGTAGCTGGGACTACAGGTGCAGGCCACACCTGGCTAATTTTTCTATTTTTAGTAGAGACGGGGTCTCACTCTTGGTCAGGCTGCTCTCCAACTCCTGAGCTCAAATGATCCTCCCACCTCGGCCTCCCAGAGTGCTAGGATTATAGACGTGAGCTACTGTGCCTGGCCTTTGTTCCTCTTTCAAATGAAAACATACTATTCTTCACAATCAAAATTTACAATTTCCAGCAAGTAAGACTCACTAAAAATTTAGTAATTAAAAAAATGGTATAAATCATAGTTTATCCTAATCTTCTTACCTAGAGGGAAAAATAGAACAGTTAAACACAAACTTAAATATTTTTACATACCACAGATGCTCCTCTGCCAGTCTGTGTACTACCAAGCCACGGCATGTTTATTGGAGTCCCAGGATTGCTATGTGTATATGGGGTTGTACCTTGTACAGCTGTTAAATCATCACGAGCATGTATAACCAAGAAATCTTCTGATCTGCAAAGGAATGTCAACCAGAATGAAAACAACCCATCAGTTCCTTATTTCTTTTTTACACTTGAAAGCTGCAACATTTGAATTTACATTTCCCTTTAAAATTAATATTCTTCAGCTCTTACTTTTAACTCACAGACAATGACTTCATACTTGAACAATTTTCATTCCCTTCGCTTACGCTCTTCTGACTCTCAATTCCCTTTAAAGCGCCTGCCTCCCCTAGCTTACTCTTAGCACGTCAGCTTCCATTCTGCTTATAATTTAGGAGTATTCCTTTAAAAAATCTTTTGAAAGTTATAGTTCAGCGAATATAACCATTTGTATTGTGATGTTACTGAATAAAAACAAAGTATAAGGGTACCCTTTGGTTTCCATTTCTATATCATCATCTACCCAAGTATAGATCTGTGTAGCAAGAATTCCAGAAACATCTAATTCTTGAACATCATGGCTGGAAGCGATTGCTATGCAGTTTCTATTTGCCTGAAAAATAAATCATACAGTAATTTTTAAACAAATAACAAAAACAGGTATACGAGCTACTTTTGAAAAGAACAATTACAAAATAACCTCTAGAAATGATAAGTATAGAATATATAGCATTCTTACAAATAAATATTTTAAATTAATTTTATCAATTAAATTTTTAGTGAAATAATCATAAGCTTGAGCTTGGAGCCATGTTTATGTTTTAAGAAAAGTATACCCAACAGAAATCCAACTATAAACGGCAATACATGTACCACTTTATCTCTTCTCCCAGCACTGTCTCTCTAGTCGGTTAGAATGCTATCATCTCCCTAAGGTTTGCACAATTCAGAAATGGAGAGGAAGGTGCTAAAGAAGATAGGAGCCCTGGAAGGTAGAGAAAGGTGAGGAAGGTAAGAAACTCCAAAGTAATGGCATAATTGTTAATTATTAAAATAAAATAATATCACTTTCTCCTAAAGCCTTCCAATCTTAGGCAAGAAAAATAGAAGTGGGAAAGATTCACAGAGAAAAGGTGCAGGGGCAGAAAAATAGTGGGAGAAGTATGCCAGAAGAAATCATAAATGAAAAGTTGGTCAGATTAAATGACATAAATGTTTAAATGTCCATGAATTAAAAATGCACATCTCTGAAAACAGAAAACAGGAAGAAATAACAGCAAAGAAAAAATAGGATTAATATTACCAGTATGTGAAATTCTAATAGAAACTAGTAAGAAAAAGCTGAAGCCCAGAGATAAAAGGAAAAAGGATATAACTAGACTGCTGTGACACAATTCTTCATGCGTCTCTCCAATTTTGCATGTGTTGACAGTCACTGATTGCCCTTTGTTCTGCATAATCATTTTCAGGATGTTTGTATAACTATAGTATCTCCCTCCAGAGCAAATGGCAGGTATGCTTACTATCCATTAGAAAAGAATTAGGTTCCCCGAATTCGGTGATCCTCTCCTGTAATGTACCTATTGTGTGTGCAGGTATCATCTGGCCTTCTTCCTGTCATTCTGAAGGAATTGTAGTTCAGAGAACCAGTGTAAAATGCTGATTTTCTGGCTACTGCTCTTGCTGTTAGAAATAAACTGTCCTTTGTCTCTGATCCAGGAATCTTGTGTCTTCTAACAGCATCCATTAAACTGTGAAAGCTAACTTGTTAGACTGAATTTAAGGTAAAATCTCAGACCCTTCACAGTTCTCGACAGAGACAGTTCCCAACTAAACAAATGTGAAAAAGTACAATTTCGTCTCTGTTTTTTTTTGGAGACAGAGTCTCGCTCTGTTGCCCGGGCTAGAGTGCCGTGGCGTCAGCATAGCTCACAGCAACCTCAAACTTCTGGGCTCAAGCGATCCTTCTGCTTCAGCCTTCAGAGTAGGTGGGACTACAGGCATGTGCCACCATCCCCAGCTAAAAAGTACAATCTCAATGGCATTTTTAACAATTGCAATTTACAGCCTGGGCAATAGCGAGATCTCTTTGGGACTGATTTTAAGTCAGCTACTGGAAAATCTTAGGTTGCGCACAGGGGCTCACGCGTGTAATCCTAGGACTCTAGGAGGCTAAGATGGGAGGACTGCTTGAGCTCAGGAGTTCGAGACCAGCCCGAACAAGAGCAAGACCCTATCTCTACTAAAAATAGTAAAATTAGCTGGGCATTACGGCCCATGCCTGCAGTCCCAACTATTCGGAAGGCTGAGTTTGAGGCAGGAGAATCGCTTGAGCCCAGGAGTTTGAGGTTGCAATGAGCTATGATGATGCCATTTCCCTTTAACCCAGGCAACAGAGTGAGACTCTGTCTCAAAAAAAAAAAAAAAAAAAAATTTAAAGAAAAGGGTATTTCTCAGCTACAAATTTAGCAAGGATATAAGAAATACCAAATCTAGGGAAATATTGAACAGGCATACTCAGACACAGTGAACTGAAGACTTTATATATGTGGATAACTGTTACTAGTTATTTATATACATCCCCCCAAAAGAAAAAAAAATCGTGTTTTTTGGTAGCACAGAATATTTAAAATCATATTTTCTTTGGGGGAAGGCAGGTAATATAGGGTATATACAATAATTTTGTAGTTGACATGTATATACCATGCTATATAGATATAACAACTGGCTAGGGGGCTGATTCCAGATTTGCCTGCCTCAAACTAAATCAGTTATTATTCAAGGGTGTCTATGAGGAAAATGAAATAAAGGATACAGGGAGATATGAGAACAGAATAAAAAAGAAACTATCTAGAAAGAATCAAAGAGAAGACAGATGTAGCACAGGAAGATGGAGAACCAACTGGTAAAGGGGTAATTTCTTTGTATATGACATTTCCTGGTATATCACAGAATATACATCTGAATAACATCTTAAAATTATTTTAAAATTAGGAACACATGAAAATCATATATATGTATTTCCCTTAAGTATACTTTAGGGATACATGAAAAAAGATACATATATCCTTGAAGTTAATGGAAAGAAAAGGAAACAAAAGGCTAACTAGAAGTCACTAGAAACTATAAGGTAAGGCAATTAGGGGAGATAGTAGGGGAAAATGACTAAGACAAATTTTAACCTTGGACTACTGTATCTAAGGCCACCTCTTCTATGAGGAGCTTACAGACATCTATAAAGAGGATGTTAAGTAGAAATCAAAGAAATACAAAGAAAATACACTAGTTGGGCAGCTACTGGAAGTTTAAGTCAAAAAGGGAGAATTTCTGAGTAACATATAAGCTTAAACTTTATCAAATATTAGGAATCACATTCAACATATTCATAAGGAACATAAAAAACCTTTTCTGTGAGTTAACTGCTATAATATATTGCATAAATTCTAAAGCTATTGCATATATAAATACTTGATACTTCTGTGTAGTAACAAAGCATTATATATTTATCAGCTATATATCCAAAGTCATATAAGAAAATCACATTGTCCAATAAAATAATCCATTTGTAAGATAAAAAAAATTTATTCAAATTACAATTTAAGGAATGGGAAGTAGCTTTGGGAAAGAGAAATACTAATCCTGAATAAACTAATAAAATAGAAGATATTCTTCAACTATGATAGTTAACAACTAAACAAATGTAAAATATCTATGTACTTACTTTATTAACAGCAAAGGCAGTAATGATATCAGATTCCTTATGAATAATTCTTGCTTTACCTCCAGGATATCCCAAATCTGCTTCTATCTAAATGGAAGGAAATAAAATATAAGAATATACTGATTTTAGTAATAGAACAAATAATATATGTCAATCATTTAGTACTTGCATAACATATTAAGAAACTTTTTAGATATTTCAATTCTAGAGATACTATTATATATGCTAATTATCTCTAAAACAAAATGTATTTGAGAAGAACTTAAAATTTTTTCAAACTTGCTTTTTCACATATAAAAAGACAGCTGATAATAATATACAGCTTCATTAATTGGTTATCCTATTCAGCTAAACTGGATTAACTTTAAAGGATCAAGACATTCTAATTATTAAAGTAAGACTTATTTATCAAGTTTCTTAGTATTATAATTCTTTAATAATGTCTTATAAATATTAAAAGGTCAGATGCTCAATACTTTAGGTTTTGCAGATCACAAAGGATCACCATTGCATATTCTTCTTTCTTTTGCAAACCCTTTAAAAATGTAAAGACCATTCTTAGCTCATGGCCTATGCAAAAATGGGTGGGATTTGGCCAGCTGGCTGGAGTTTATTGAGTTCTAGTCTAAAATAACTTTCAATTTATACAATAGAGACGTGAACCCCTAAAAGGCGAGGTAACTCCTTAAAGTCAGTAATCATTTTGGTACCTGAATAAACCGTGATTCAATGTATTTTACATGAGACAAATATTTAACCTGCTGCTTACTCCAGAGAAGGTATGTACAACATCTGTGAACTTAGAAGACAATACTACATAAAGCCAACATTTACTAAAATAAACAGAAGTTGAAAAGAGGAGGCAATTATTAAGAGTTGCAAATGTTGCTTAATGTAGGACATTATTTCATTTTATTTTATCCTCTCTAACCTTCAAACTTTTAAAATGAATTAGTTTTATAGCTCATTGTGAAATGTAGAAATTATTAATTTAAATCAGCATAAATTTACTTGCTACAAAATCTAGATAAAAATATAACCAATGCCTGTCAATTGACCAGAGTTAGCAGTCTTTTTAAAAATGGCAACTAAGATGACTATTTAATTGCAGAGTTGAGAAACTTACAACACAACTAAAATACTCCCATGCAAACAAAAATTATAGTCACTGGATATAAAGATGTCAAATATGCTCTGATCTAAAATGTAATTTGCTTATAAACATAAATGAATTTCAGTGTTTGCTTAACATTCTGGCTGACTTGAGGGTCAGTTTATCTTCCAAGGAGAATCTTAGCTGTGGCTACTAAAGACGGATCATCCAGTAAGAATGTACAAGCCAAATTCCATAATTTTATGACAAAATTCCAACTTACCCACCAATCTGCCTGGTATCTAAAGTACACTAAGCATCCATTACTAGGTTTTGAATTGGAGGCAGAGACAGATGATAGTTCCTGCTAGAGGACAAGAAGGTATTCCCATATTGAGGAAGCTTTTTTGCAGTTGATGCCCATAGGAGCTTTCCTTCCATACACATAAAGTTTGAAAAAGCTTCCCAGGTGAAATGATATGTTTCCCCTAACCAGCCAGGAACCAGCCAACATCATACCGAATGGGGAAAAATTGAAAGCATTCCCCTTAAGAATTGAAAGAAGACAAGACATTGTCACTACTTCTATGCAACATAGTACTGGAAGTCCTAGCCAGAGCAATCAGGCAAGAGAAAGAAATAAAAGGCATCCATATCGTGAAAGAGGAGGTCAAACCATCCCTGTCTGATGACAATATAATCTTGCATCTAGAAAACCCTAAAGAATCCTCCAAAAGACTCCCAGAATTGATAAATAAATTCAGCAAAGTGTCAGGTTACAAAATCAATGTACACAAATCAGTAGCGGTTCTGGATACCAATAACAGTCAACCAGAGAGCCAAAGCAAGGACTTACTGCCATTCACAATAGTTACAAAGGAAATAAAATACCGAGGAATATATTTAACTAAGGAGGTGAAAGATCTCTACAAGGAGAACCATAAAACACCAATGAAAGAAATTGCAGATAACACAAACAAATGGAAAAATATCCCCTGCTCAAGAATTGGTAGAATCAAAATTGTTAAAATGTTCATACTGCCCAAAGTGATTTACAGATTCAACACAATCCCCATTAAAATACCAGTATCATATTTCACAGATCTAGAAAAAATAATTCTAAGCTTCATTTAGAACCAAAAAAGAGCCCAAATAGCCAAAGCAATATTAAATAAAAAGAAAAAATCTGGAGGCATCACATTCCTAGACTCCAAATTATAATACAAGGCTATAATAACCAAATGAGCATGATACTGGCATAAAAGTACAGATATAGACCAATGGAACAGAGAATAGAGAACCTAGAAATAAAACCATCTACCTGCAACCAACTGATCTTCAACAAAGAAGAAAACAACATACACTGGGGAAAGGAAGCCTTATTCAATAAATGCTGCTGGGAAAATTGGTTAGCCATATGCAGAAGAATGGAACAGGACCCCTATCTCTTGTCATATACAAAAATTAATTCAAGATGGATAACAGATTTAAATATAAGGCATGAAACCATAAAAATTCTAGAAGAAAATGTAGGAAAAACTCTTCTAGATATCAGCATAGGCAAAGAATTTATGATTAAGACCCCAAAGGCAAATACAGCAACAACAAAAATAAATAAATGGGACTGAATTAAATCAAAAGATTCTGTAGAGCAAGGGAAATAATCAACAGAGTAAACAGATAACCTATAGAAACGCAGAAAATATTTGCAAACTATATAACTCACAGAGGACTGATACCAATAATCTACAAATAACTCAAATAAATCAGGAAGAAAAAAAGCTAACCCCATCTAAAAATGCCCAAAAGACATGGACAGAAGTTTTTCAAAAGAAGATAGACAAATGGCTTTAAAATATATGAAAAAATGCTCAACATCACTAATCATCAGGGAAACGAAAATTAAAACTACAATGAGATGCCACCTTACCCCTGTCAGAATGGGCATTATTTCAGAGTCCAAAAACAATAGACGCTGGCATGGATGCAGAGAGAAAGGAACGCTTATACACCATTGGTGGGATTGTAAATTAGTACCTCTATGGAAAGCAGTATGGAAATTCCTCAGGGAAATGTAGACCTACCATTCGATCCAGCAATCCCACCACTGAGTATGTACCAAAAGAAAAAGAAGTCTTTATAAAAAAGCCACTTGCACTCAAAAGTTTACTGCAGTACAATTTACAATTGCAAAGATGTGGAATCAACCTAAGTGCTCATCGATTCATAAATGTATAAAGAATATGTGGTAAGGTCAGGTGAGGTGGCTCACGCCTGTAATCCCAGCACTCTGGGAGGCCGAGGCAGGAGGATTGCTTGAGCTCAGGAGTTCGAGACCAGCCTGAGCAAGAGCGAGACCCTGTCTCTAGTATAAAGAGAAAGAAATTAGCCAAACAACTAAAAATAGAAAAAATTAGCTGGGCACAGTGGCACGTGCCTGTAGTCCCAGCTACCCGGGAGGCTGAGGCAGGAGGATTGCTTGAGCCCAGGAGTTTGAGGTTGCTGTGAGCTATGCTGACACCACGGCACTCTAGCCCAGGCAAGAGAGTGAGACTCTGTTTCAAAAAAAAAAAAAAAAAAAAGAATATGTGGTGAATATACCATGGAGTACTACTCAGCCATAAAAAGGAATGAAATAATGTTTGCAACAACTTGGATGGAACTAGAGCCCATTATTCTAAGTGAAGTAACTCAAGAATGGAAAAACAAACACCACATGTACTCTCTAATAATTTGTAACTAATTTATGGGCACATATGAGCATAGAAAATAGTAAATATCATTGGGAAGGAAGGAGGGGAAAGAGGGTAGGGGTAAAAACCTACCTGACAGGTACAATGAACACTATTCACATGATAGGCACACTTACAGCCCTGACTAAAGCATCATAAAAGCTATCCATGTAACAAAAACATGTGTACCCCCTTAGTTAATATTTTGAAATTAAAAAACACACACACAAAAAAACATAGGACTGAAAATTCTAGTCAGAGTGATAGGGAAAAAAAAAGAAAGAAATCAACTTTGATAAACAAGGATAAATTTGAAGGACTTACACTACTTGACTTCCAAATTTGTTATAAAGTTATAGTAATCAATACAGTGAGTTATTAGCATAAAGACAGAGGGATCTACGAACCAAAGTACAGATTCCAGAAACAGACCTACACATCTATGTCAATTGATTTCTGAAAAGGGGAAAAAGGCAGTTTAGTGGAAGAAAGGATAATCTTTTCAAGAAATAGTTCTGAAACAAATGATATAAAGATGCAAAAAAACAAAACAGGAATGGAGATCCATACTTCACACCATATAAAAAAATTAACTTGAAATGGATTATAGACCTAAGTGTAACACTAAAATTATAAAGAATCTAGAATAAAACAGGAAAAAAATCTTTGTGCTCTTAGGCTAGGCAAAGACTTCTTAAATACAACACCAAAAAGAAAATGCACAAATAGAACTGATACATTAGACCTCACCAAAATTAAGAACTTTTGCACTTCAAAAGACATTGTAAAGAGAATGAAAAGACAAGCCATAGCCTAAGAGAAAATATTTGTAAATAACATATCTGATAAAGGACTTTTATCCAGAATATATAAAGAACTGTTAAAACTCAATCAAGGAAACAAGAACATAATAAAAAAATAAACACAAGATTGGAAAAGACACTTCACCCTTAAAGATATACAAATGGCAAATAAGCACATGATAAGATGTGAATCAATGCAAATTAAAGCCACAATGAACCACCATTACACACCTACTAAAATGGCTAAAATGAAGAAGCTGATTGTAGCAAGTGTTGGTGAGAATATGAAGCAACTGCAATTTCATACACTGCCTGCTGAGAATGTATAAATGGTACAATCACCTCGGAAAATATTTGAACAGTTCTTAAAAAGTTAAACGCGCACCCACCACATGACCCAGTCTTCCCAATCCTAAGCATTTACAGAAGAGGAATGTATATGTCCATATAGATTTGTACGTGAATGTTCAAAGCAGCCTTATTTGAAATAGCTCCAAAATGGAATCAGCTCAAGTGTTCATCGACAGGTAAATGGACAGACAAACTGTGGTATAACCCATACAATGTAATAGGCATCAGCAATAAAAAGGAATGAACTACTGAAATATATTAATACAACATGGAGGGATCTCAAAATAATTATGTTAAATGAAAGGACACAGGTCAAAACCAAAAATAACATATGATTCCATTTATATAAAATTCCAGAAAACAGAAATTAATCTATAATGTCAGGAAACAGATGGGTGGTTGCTTAAGGAAGAAAAGGTCACAGGTAGGAGGACAGGAGCAAGGGAGGGAGTAAATTTTGGGGGGTGACGGATCATCATGATTGTGGGGATGGCTTCATGAGTTTATACATATGCCAAAATTGATTAAGCTGTACACTGCAAATATGTGCAGTTATTTTAGTCCAGGCATAACTAGTAAAGATTTTTTTTTAAGTATAGCAGAGGGCTTGGAAAATGCTGGCCATAATTTATATGATGGTAACAACAACAACAAAAGATTGCATTTTAATGTAGCATGGAGATGACTATAGAAACACAGCATTATGACTGTTAACATTTTATAAACAGAATGAAAAGAAAAATCTTTGGATGAGAATTGTTATAATGTGTAGATGGTAGTAAGTAATCATTACCCAGACAAGGAAAATTGTTAACTGACTAAAAGTTCAAATTATATTCCCTCAAAACTCTCAAAGGCCATTAGAAAATTTCAAAATAAGGACCATATATATTTATTTTGCCAAAATTTTAGTTATAATATACGCCTGCTATCAAATCAGTCTTTTTAATTAATTGCATAGAGAATTATTTCTCCTATTTTACCAAGTGATTCCTGTGGGAAAGAATAAGAGGTAGAAATTAGTGGCCTTAAAAAAAACTACTGAGAAACTTTTCCCCTAAAAATCACTGCTGAAATTGTTTTAAATATAGAATATGAAAAATATGAGTTAAATATCCACCTAATAAAGTCATATTTGAATGTGTGATCATGGAACATCTAGAAGTTAGTTCATGATTGTGCAAACTCTCATCCTTTGTGCTTTGGTTTTTAAGTACTATGTATAAGGCATGGCTCTATAAGCTATTCCTACCAGTAAAATAAATGCTATATAATAGTATTTGCTACATTTTTAGGAGTTAATATCATAGAAGAGAATTTTAACTTCAAAAGTGATACTTGCAAAAATGGAACAATACTACTATGCTTCTATAATTGCCATTGTAATTACATGTATTAAGAAATTTAGTTGTATTTACTCAGAAAAATCTGTAGCCAAAACAAGATACATTCAACTCCCTTTAAAATTGCATTCTCTTATTTAACAAAAACCATTTTTTATAATTGCAATATTTAAGTTGTTAAAATGAGAATAATGTGAGGGAGAAATACTTTAATTTCATTGGAATCAGAGTCTGGTCCAGAACTAAAATGCAAATACTTTTTTATTTTCATGAAAGAATGCAATTTCTAATTTCAGTTGAATGACATTTGTACCTTATTGATGTTTGGCTCCTCCATCATAGAATTTTTGATGGTTTCATTGTTGTCCTCTAATGACTTCATCAAGAAAGAATAACCACATAACAAAGAATAAAGATGAGATATAACATGCAAAATACTAGGGATATATTTTAAAATTATATTTTTAACCAAATTTACTAGAAAAGAACACTGGACTGAGCTAGTATTCTTAAATTTCATATACCTTAAAAGAAGCATGTGTGAGGGAGTATGATTAGGGAATAGGGAAAACGTAATTCCTCAAAACTCATTAGTCACCACTATAAATTTTATTCTACCTCCTAAGAAATTTCTGCTCAACTTATTTTGAAATGTTGACGTTAAAAGCAAGATTGAGCATTAAGTACTTTACATTAAAAAATTCAGATCTACTGGTGTCAGAGTACTATCAACTGAAAATTAAAGTAGAAATGTTCTCTTACATACTACTATGTATGATATCTCAAGATAACTGACCCTTCGGGAAAATTTCCTGATTAGAAACTTTCAATTTCTACATTTCTAATTCTCTTTCTACTGACTTAGTCACACAGTCAATAAATTACTTGGAGGCACACATCCTTCCTAAAAGGGAATAGTGGTACTTCTTAAAGAAAGAGTTGTTTCAACATTTGTAGTGATTCTTAGGAAATAAAACAGAAAAAGGAATTAGGGACAAAGATGGCAGCTATCAACTCCCAATTTTTCACTGGGAATGACTTAGACAGTCTATTTGCAATCATCTGTACTTCATTTCCAAATAACTACAGATAGAGAAGACATTTTATTTTAAAATGAATGCAACATTAAATTACACTATATAGAAATAGAAAAGATCTGAGAATACATGAGGATGTTAAGGTCAGATGAAGAAACTGTTAAGATTTCATTTTCAAACATACAGGGGAATAAAGAAATGGCAGCAATCTCAAAATACTCTCCCCATCAATCCCATGAAAAATATAGGACTTGTATATATCCATCTCCTAACCATTTGGAAAGTCACAGTGACTTGGACTCAAATATTTTAGTATCATCATTTTATAAAAATAAGAGATGGAAGGTAATTTTGTTAAGACCCAAAACAGGCTAGTCAACTGTCCAGTAAAGATTAATTTTATACCAACTCCATAAAGTTAAGATTCTATTTAATTCCATCCTTTTATAAAAATAACCAATTTTCTTTATAAAAGAAAATTGCTTTTCAATCTCCCATCTTTTAGAACAAATAATTAATTTTATACCAACTCCCAAATATATTACAAAA